GCATGACAAAAATAACACTCTTCCTTCTTGGACTCAGGCTTAGGTTCAATGACAACGCTTGCCACTTTCCTCTTGCCCTTACCCTTGGAACGTTTCCTTTTGGTGGAACTCTTTCCAACAACTACCATATCATTCTTCCCTTGGCTCCCAGCTTTCTCTTGGAATGACATATTCAACTGATCATCCATCAATGAATTGTCCATGTCATCTAATTGCTCACGCAATTCCGAAGACATCTTTCCAAGCATCAAGCTGGACACGTCCAGATCATCATCCTCATGCTTCCAATAAGCATCAATGATCGATCCAGAAGCCTTGGTCAGAGGCTTATCCTTCATAAGGATAGATCGCATGGTGAGATTAACCAGATTCCTGCAACAGATATACACTACAGAAAAAGACAAACAAACAGACAGAAAATATGCAAGTCACTTAGTACACTTACTAACACAGATAATAGGCCCAATGGCATGACAGAAATAACACTCTTCCTTCTTGGGTTTGGGCTTAGGCTTAGTGACAACACTTGTCAATTTCCTTTTGTCCTTACCTTTGGAACGCTTCCTCTTGCTGGAACTCTTTCCAACAATCACCATATCATTCTTCCCTTGGCTCCCAGCTTTCTCTTGGAATGACATATTCAACTGATCATCCATCCTGCACATTTGCACAAATGTGCGAGGCACATCCGGTATCTAATACCCATGAAGAAGAAGTACACAAGTTGGCCTCTATAATGAAGATACCAGAAATTGAAGCTTCTGCAAGCTTCTTCTTCCTTTGATCTTCCAGGTAGAGTCTGCAATCTCTATACCAATGCCCAATGGCATGACAGAAATAACACTCTTCCTTCGGCCATTAAACTGGTAACCTTTACCATAGAATAAATCGCCTCTATAAATGGACAGACATTTGTTCTCAATAACAAATCTGAAACCATCTGAGTCTAAGCATGAAATCGATATGATGTTCCTACTGATGGCAGGTACAAAATAACAATCATGCAGCTCCAATACTAGGCCAGAAGGTAAAGTCAGATCATAAGTCCTGACGGTTAATGCAGCAACTTTTGCTCCGTTCCCGACACGGAGATCTACTTCTCCCTTTGCCAATTGTCTACTTCCTCGCAGTCCCTGCACATTTGCACAAATGTGCGAGGCCCATCCGGTATCTAATACCCATGAAGAAGAAGTACACAAGTTGGCCTCTATAATGAAGATACCAGAAATTGAAGCTTCTGCAAGCTTCTTCTTCCTTTGATCTTCCAGGTAGAGTCTGCAATCTCTATACCAATGCCCAATGGCATGACAGAAATAACACTCTTCCTTATAGACCGGACGGTCCGCACTAAACGTAGACCGTCCATTCTGCCTTACTGGAACGGACGATCCACGTGCAATTCTGGACCGTCCGTTCCAGGTTCCGGTTTTCCGAAAATTAAACCGAAATTAGGGTTAAATCACTTTACAAGAAAGAGATTAGAACCCTAATTCGAAAGAGACTTTTTGGGGAGCCGACTTTCAGAGAATTCTAAGAGCTTTTGGTGAGATCCAAAGAGTTCAACGAATCAAAGTCTCGTTTTCTCAAAGTGCACAAAAAAGCAGACAAGTTCCAATCGTTGGAATCCATCCCGAGGTGTGGATACGTGTAGAGGGCGAGGTAAACTTCCTCCCTAAGTGATCGGACGAATTCTTCAGTTGATACAGGCCCCGGATCGATTGAGGTAAGCGTTCTGACGTTTCTACGATTTCAATAGTAGCATGGTTCTAGGGTTTATTAAATTTTTGTTTTACATCCGCTGCGCAAACCCTAGAATCGATCTCTTAGGAATAGGATTCGCTCATGAGATCCCAGGAAACCCAACAG